AGAAACAGCGGCGTACAACGACGCCATCGGCCGCACAGGTGTGAACACGGGCCAAAGGACCACAGGTAACAGCGCCCGAGCACAACACAGCCCAAAAGTCCCAGTGTGAGAGTGTCTCTAGTACAGCAGGAGCTGAGACAGACGCGCTAACGGGACGTCCCTGAGCAAATCCCGCGCCTCAGTTAAAAAAACTAAACAAAAAACTGTGTTATATATGTATATTATTTATCCGATACCTGATCGGAACATAAGTCCACACTAGGTTTGTCCCGATTCGATCTGGATCGGGACAAACCTAGTGCAAATCATATGAAATATATATATATATATAAAATGGTGGAATGGTGTCTTTTGTGACAAACATTGTGACTGATAGATTCATTTATTCACCACAGTGCAGATTTACTGACAGAAATAAACCTGCCTGTGTTGAACTTCAGCGTCCTGCTTCTTCTCTTCAACTCTCACAATACTTCACTTTATTCTACAACACTCAGAGTCACAAAAATCCCTCAAACAGCTTCATCTGGAACAAGTGCAAATGTTCTTTCTTTGACCAAACGGAGGAAGACGTTGCCGTGTTCGTTTTCTGTGTAACAGAAACATGTTTTTGTGTTTTAAACAAGACTAATTGTTTTTTAATGGAAACTGTGTCTGACAGTCTCCAGAGAAGAAACAGATCACTGGAAAAGTTACACAGTGTGCTTTAGAGCTGCATCTCTGTTCATTTGTTGCTCAGTTCTCTGACAGACTGTTAGCGCCCTCTGGTGGTTGTTTAACAGAACACAGTCTTGGCATTAGAAATGTCTGAAGTATAAATACAGTGATGGTTTCTACATAAACAGAGTCTCCCTGAAGCACAGTTTAGAACTGTGAGCCTCTGAGCTAAAAGGACGACATGACTGATGTCAGAAAAGTGCAAAAGCTCCTTCTATAAAGCAGCACAAACTGACAGAGTGGCAGTGGTTCAGAGGTTCAGTATTTGCCCACAAATCACAGGATCACTGGTTAAAACTTCCTCCAGTGTTTCCTCCGTCAGATGTTTCTGAACAGCAGAGCCGTCCTCTAACAGGAGCGAGTGTCCTAAAGAAAACAGAAATAAAACAAAAGGTCACAAAAAATATTATTAAAGACATGTCATGTGTTCTTCAGTTCAATAACAGGTTAAAAGAATAAATCTGTTTGTTTAGTCCCTGCGCCCCCTGCTGGAGCAGGTTTAACTCTGTGAGTGAAACATGAGATGAATTCTTGTACCTTGTTTCTTGGAAGCTCGGATTACAGCTGCACAGATGAAGAACAAAGAGCCAATGATGATGAAGCCCATCATGACAATGTGGAAGAGGAACTGACCAAAGCTCTCATGTTTAGCGCCCCCTGCAGCAAAAAAAATAATTTATGAACAAGTCAGAATGAAACTGCAGATGCATCCAGAATATGTGAAATGTTAAATGTGTTTTTCCCATACAATAAAATATTTGTTTTGAACTGTTAATTGCCACGGCAACAATCCTCATTTTTCATCATTGTGAAACCCATGGATAGACTCAGGTACAACAATAAACCACTTCCTACAGATGTGTTTCCCACGTTCAAGTGTGGAGGCTTTGAAGACAAAAAGAAACATCTGGCCACATAATACGACCCGAGTGAAGTTACCATGACGCTCCACTGAAGTTTGCCTCTTCAGAAAAATGTGACCAACAGGTCAAATGATTTACTCCAAAACTTCACACCGACCGTGGGAATAGTTTTATTCCACACTGGGATTTATCTACATTATTCTACATTACACTTCGCTGCTATGGCCTGTACATGTGTGAACATACATAAAGTTTTCAAACATTATTGCTGAATATAGGTCCATGGAGCATCAGCACAAAATCAGATTTGTTGTATTTCTCACTGACCTTCTTGTATTTCCTCCTGATCTTCTTGTATTTCCTCCTGATCTTCTTGTGATCCAGGCAGGGCTGGAGCTGGAGTAGACCTTCTGTTTGGAGTCACGTTTATCTCAAAATACACTGTGGAGTTTGAGAAAGTCAAGTCCAGAAGATTCATGACATTTACAGAAGAGCAGCAAAACTTACCAGTAGAAATAAACCTCCAGTCTCCTCTGTCTCGGTCGTAGTTGGCCACCATCTCACAGCGATACTTCCCCGAGTCGAGGGCTGTGAGGCGGGTGAGGAGGAGCTGCACCTGCCCCTGTTTCAGAGCTTCTCTGTGGAGCTTCACTCTGCCTCTGAACTGTGCGTCCTGGATTTCTGATTGTTCCTTTCCACTTATCATGTCCAGTACCTTCTTCTGCGGTTCTGTCAGGAGTCTGCAGTTCATGTGGAGCTCAGACAAGTTCATGTTGTTCGGCCTGTTTAACTCTACGGTGATGTTGGTGCCCTCCTCTGCTGAATAGAAGATGCTTTTCAAACTGGACTGAGCTGGAAAGAAAAGTTTGTTAAAATTGATCAAAGTTTATTTCAGACCCATATTACACTATTTTCTGATCTGTCCACAAACATAGTTAGGACGCCTGCCCCGCGTCTGCCTCTCCCTGCACTCCCCGTTTGTTATTTGTTGTCTCTCATTTGCGTGTGCTGCCGGTGTCCTGGCCCTGATTGGTGAGTTGCATCTCTTCTCTGCTGGGTTGGATTCTGTTTCCTGCTGCAGTGGTTGGAGGACTGACTGATGCTCCTCCGATCCCCTGACTGAACCTTCACCCAGTAAAAGTGCCGTGCTCCTGCTCGTCCTGCAGCTGAACTACAGCATGAGCTTCCACCTTCCGTACTAGACCTGTCTCCCATTTGCCTTCTGTTGAATGTAACGGTGGCCCCATCCACACTAGTGTGTATGTGAGTAGTGTTGTTGTGGGTGCAGGGTTCGTTCACACTAATCCGTGGAAAACATCTCCAGAGTCTGAACGATCTGGTGCCTCCAGCTCCACGAGTTCATGTTGGTCTAGATGTGATGGGGACTGTGTGACTCCTGAAAACTCTGATACTCTGATGTAGGAGCTGGAGTCTCGTCCTGATTGGACACGTCACTGTGACTCGCTCCTTCTGATTCTCTGGGTTTGTGACATCGTCATGTGACGATATTGTGGAAAACAGTTTAAACAAACCAGAGACAAACGAGAAACAGCCGAGATACAACTACTATGCTCGTCTTAAAATCCACTGTTATGTTCAGTAACAACTGAACCTCGTCATTGGTCCATGAAAAGACTGTTTCACTCTTGTCATCCTCCTCAGCTCGAACATCGGCTGCTGCAGACACGGTGCTCCTCTTCCTTGTTTTTCCCGCCCAGTGACGTCGTGAGGCCAGACTAGTCATGTGACTAATGTTTCAGGCAGATTCGCGTTACTGTGTGGAGGGAAGACTTTGATAATAAACACAGAAACGACGCAAATCGTTTTTGATACGGTGATTTGTTTCAGTGTAAATGTGACCTGTGTAATGTGAGACACTAGACACCTGTTGTTTGTGACGGCCTTTTCTTTAATCTGAAGTTATCAACTTGGAGATATTGTTAAGTTGTATTGGGAATTTCTGATATAAAGTCTTGTAAATGGTCACATTTTTCTATAGCACTTTTCCACCTTCAAGGCTCAAAGCGCTTTTGCAACAAGGAACCACTCACCCAGTCACACACACATTCATACACCAGTGTACACAGACACTGTGGGCAAGGTGGGTTAAGTGTCTTGCCCAAGGACACAACGACAGCATTCATCTGTGGAAGCTGGAATCACACCAGCAACCTGTGGGTCAGTGGATCTGACGCTCAACCAATGATGTTTATGTCAAGAGCTGGAATCAAACTGCCAACCTTCAGATCAGTGGGCGAATGCTCCACCAACTGAACTACTGCCCCCCAGGTTTTAGACAGTTTTACTGTCTAAAACTTTTGTTGTTGTTGTTGTATTTATTTTATAAAAGCCACTTCATTTAAATCACATCTAATTTGTGTTACTTTCCTTTGTCAATACCATAAACAGACCTGAACTTGTGTTTTGTTTCATTCACATGTTTAACACATAAACCTGCACGTTTAGGTTCTTTCTCTCAAAGTGAAAACACTCTGTACCACCTTGTGATGTCATCATGTGGTGATACACGAAGTGTTCCACTTTTTAAACTCCACACACCTTCACCAGAATCATCTGAATCATTTCTGTCCTGGAATTTTTGTTTACCAATCTCTACTAAATTAAAGGTAAAAGGAACTGTTCATTTGAAAAAAAAACCAAAAACAAACGACCACTTCATGACATCACAAGGTGGACCAGAGCATTTGGAGCTTTGTAAATGGACACAGACTGTTCAGTCCAATCTACAGGTTTTATAAACATTACACTTTCCAAAATGCTGCACAGACAAATGACAATAATAAAGAGAGTAGATCATAAATAAAAACAATAAATAAAAACATTAAAATAAAGCTAAAAGATTTATTAAAGCTAAAAATGTTTAAATAAATCAAATAAAAATAAAAGACACAGGGGACCACACAACTCACACAGTGTTAAAAGGCAGAGAAACAGTCCACCAGAGGGAGCTGTTTGACAAGAGAGAATGTGTGAATGAAACAAACACAAGTCCAGGAGAGTTTCTGATGAGGAAAACAGCGTCAGAACACGACTCAGATCTCACAAGAGTCTGTTTAGTGAAATGTTCCACACTCACCTGAGAGAAAAGTCAGACCAAGCAGCAGGAGCCAGAGCAACATCATCCAGAGGAACTCCATTCCCAGAGCTCTACAAACACACACACCACACACTTTTAGTTCAGTTTGTGCTGTTTAAACCGTTTTTTTCCTTTTCAGACTCTTTTTTGACAGTGAGTGTGTTTACAGCACATCAGTGTCTCGGTTATGATCAAGTTTTTTGGTCCCCTGGTTTCTTCATGGTGCATGTAAACGCAGTGTCCCGGTTTCAGTGTGAAGGTTATTAGAAACTGGGATACTGTAGCTGGTATATTCCGATAGTAACCGGAATACTGTGGAATGTAAACGCAGTATCCCAGTTAATGCAACATAAAGTTGAGTCACATGTGTCCAGAAGACAAACTTTCCAGTTTTTTCATCACAACAGAAGCGACATAAATAAAGTGACCGACATAAATAAAGTGACCGACATAAATAAAGTAAATAAAGTGACATAATATATATATATATATATATATATATATATATATATATATATATATATATATATATATATATATAATGACCATACATGAGTGAAATTACTACGCTAAACCTGCACACGTCTGATCTCTGAAAACATGAACCATCTCACACACACACACACACACACACACAGACACACACACACACACACACAAACACACGCACAAACACACAACACACACTCACACACTCACACACACAAACACACAGACACACACAACACACACACACACACACACACACACACACACACACACACACACACACAGAACACACACACACACAGAACACACACACACACACACACACACACACACACACACACAGACACACACACACACACAGACACACACACACACACAGAACAGACACACACACACACACACACACACACACACACACACACACACACACACACAGACACACACACACACACAGAACAGACACACACACACACACAGACATACACACACACACACAGACACACACACACACACACAGAACACACACACACACACACACACACACACAGACACACACACACACACACACACACAACACACACACACACACAGCACACACACACACACACACACAGCACACACACACACACACACAGACACACACACACACACACAGCACACACACACACACACACACAGAACACACACACACACAGAACACACACACACACAGAACACACACACACACAGAACACACACACACACAGACACACACACACACACACACAGAACACACACACACACACAGACACACACACACACACACACACACACAGAACACACACACACACACTTCATCATCATCTGTCACAGAGAGAAAACACTCATGTTCCACTGAGTTGTGTCCTTTAGTCTGACAGAAGCTGAACCACATCAGTGACACAAGGAAAGAACTGTTTGTTTTTTTTTTTTTACTGGGCTGATGTGTCTATTGTGGTTCTGGTTTATATGTGGTAAAGTTGAATTTATTTATGCAGAAGATTTGAATGAAGAATCTTTTGCAGTGTTGAACATGTTTGGAAATGTTGGGTTTGATCTGTGCAGTGGATCAGAGCTCCTCACTTCTGGGGAGGAACCTACCAAACTTCCTCTGCTAAAGGAGCTCATGGTTTGTTTTTTTCCTGGTTTATTAAATTAAGTTAATTTTTGCACTTGTGCATTTGTAAGATTATTTTCATGTATACAGGCCCCCTCCCTCTGCTTCTGTTCATCCTCCAGCCTGATCAATCTTTTTTTTTTGGTGACCCACCCTTTGGCTTTCACAAACTTATCACACAGATTACTCCAGACTTTTCTACACTGATTTTTGTCCGAGCCTAAAATATTGGCAATCTCCTAGCCAGACTGACGCCACCTAGTGCCTCCGCTCAGTGTCATGTGATGTTCCCTCCAGCTCTAGGTCAAGAATCAGAATACACTAGACGATCTGAAGAACCCCAGAAGTTGTAGACGGCGCACAGGCCAATCAGCTGTGAGCTGTGAAGTCATGACGTCATCGTAGTGTCTGTCTGTGTCCCTTTTGTGCAACAGCACAACAGTAAACACAGTTGTGTCGAGATCGATATGGACAAAGACAGACATTCTGTGTTGTCAACGATTCCCCAGATCCCGAGGATTTAAAGCCGGAACAAAAAGAATGTTTGGTGAGTTTGATCTCGGGGAAAGACGTTATTGTTCTTTCTTCCTACAGGATTTGGAGCTTTACAAACGTCACGACCAAACAGCAGCAATTGGTTCAATAAAAAAGTCCCCGTCTACTGTCGAGTGAAAGAATCCTAATGCTGCAGGTCACACGGTTTCCACCAAGTGAAACCTGATGCATCAAGCAAATTTTACTTTAACTGGATGAAAAATATGACCATGCATTACCCAAACATGCAGGGATGACGCTAACACAGGCACGTCCAAACTACGGCCCGTGGGCCAGATGCGGCCCTCAGACAAATTTATCTTGGCCCTCAGGCTTCCAGCTGAATTGGCCCAAATTACCTTAAAGCAATTAAAAATGAACTTTTTACTGTAATTTTTTTTTTTTTTGAAAATTGACCTTGATATTTAGTGTGTGGTTTTAAGGATCTTAGTGTGAATAAAGTCTGATGGTTCATTCTAACGTGTTAAACCTGCACATATTTCAATTATTCACTGTACTGAGCACCAGTCTACTGCCCACGATCGACCCTCTGCTTCATCTGTGTTTAGAGATGTGGCCCTTGATGAAAAAAGTTTGGACACCCCTGATCTAACCCGTCTTCAGCCATGTTTGTGATGAGGAACAAATACATTAATACTCCTTCTTTAAGTAAATGTAGTTTTTCTCTCTAAAAAGGCATCGACAGTGTCATAAAACAAGTGTGACGCCCACAATGTGCGCTTATATAGTTTTTTATTTAATGTAATGACATTTTGTAAATGAGGAACAGTGGTGGTGTTTTATTTTGAGATGAACAATTTCAATTCCAATTTTGTCCACCAGATGTCAGCACGTGCAGTGAAATGGTTTGGAGGCTCTGGCTTCTGCTTCTGATATTGTTATTTTGTGAATATGGCAATGTTCTGATACAGTTAAAACAAAAGGTACAGTTATAAAAGTGATGTCATGACAAGTTCATTTTATCACATTAAAAAAAAATTGATTATTAGGCAATAAACATTATTATAAACAGTCACAGTTTTATTTATAAACTGTTATTACAGAGTGGAAAGAAGAGAAAAGAATATTGTACGTAACTGTGATTTCTTTGTAAATTGTAATTTTTTGTATAATGTTCTTGTACAATTAAAGTTAATCGTCAGTAGCAGAAATCCAAGGCAACAGAAACTAACGTCTTGTTTATTTACTTTATTTCGGTGCCGACGTCTAAACCAACTAAAAGCTGTGGTTGTTCCGACTCATGCTGCTAGGAAGTTCTGAAAAACCCTTGGTGATGTGCTGTTGTTTGGTCATGTGTAAAGGGAGATTTAAAGAGCTGAAGTGGCTCAGTTATTCTTTCCTTTCGCTCTTTGTTCTCATTGCTCTTTCTGTTCTGCTGAACCAGGTCGGGGTTTGAGGAAACTCACGAAGAACAAGACAATTAAAGCATTAAAAAAGAAATTTAAAGCATTAATCTTAAACAGAGCTTTTCCAGAGGTGCAAAGTTACTTTAAAATACTGTGTATTTTTCAATCAACACACACTTACAATTCTATTGTAGACACACACACACACACACACACACACACACACACACACACACACACACACACACACACACACACACACACACACAATAGAATTACGCAGCAATAATAACTAACAATGAATAATAATACAGGTTCATACATCTGCAAAATAACCACAAGTTTAAACTCAGAAGCAAGAATCATTTAAAATATTTTAGAACGATAAAATTTCTTTCTCATTATTTACAGCAGCTTCAAATTCTGCACAGCAACAACAGTTTGTGGTTACGAGTCAAGTGTCAGGGATGAGTGTTGACTGTGTTTCACTGCCATGGTTTTTCCTTGTGTCTTGACTTTTACACAACTAGATTTGTAGGTTAGGGACTTGGTTCTGTCGCTGTGCACACCACAACAACCACACACACTGATGTTATTTCACCTTGTCTTTAGAGGATGAATGAAGGAAGAAAGACTGAGGTGCAGTCACCTGAACAGATCTAAAGTCATAACAATAAGACGGCGTTAAGTTTAACGTTTTCTAATGGAGAAATTTGGACATATTTATTATTATTTATCACACATTTGTTTCTTGTACTGCTGCTTCAGATGATTTCAGACACATAAACCACAGACTCATGACACTGCTGGGCAAGTTACTTTAAAACTGTAATGTGTTATTTATTACTCAATACTGACATTTCAGAGTATTTAGTTACATTACAATATTACTGTATTTAAAATATAAAACATTACATTACATTACTCTTGCATTAATGTTTATGTTACTCTCGTCAAAATAACTGCTATAAATAAATGCTGAAACTTTTGCGCCGTATACACTGAACCAGGACTAAACCAGGACTAAACTGGGACTAAACCAGAAATAAAACCAGGACTAAATAGGACTAAAACTGGACTAAAACTGGACTAAACCTGGACTAAACTGGGACTAAACCAGCACTAAACCAGAACTGAACCAGGACTAAACCAGCACTAAACCAGAACTGAACCAGGACTAAACCTGGACTAAACCAGAAATAAACCAGGACTAAAATAGGACTAAAACTGGACTAAAACTGGACTAAACCAGAAATAAACCAGGACTAAAACAGGACTAAAACTGGACTAAACCAGGACTAAGACAGTGAAAACTCACTGAAGCATCAAAACTCTGAATGACACATTTGGAACAAAGTGAACAAAAACACACTCAAAATAAGACTTTAAATAAAATCCACTCTTTGCTTTACTGATAATCGCTTGTGGTTTGCCTGACATTGACCTGCGGAGGCGCAGGTGCTTTGTTTGCAGCCTTTTGTTCGTACTTGTCTTGTCTTTGTTTGTTTTTGTAAACACTCTCAAACTAAAAAGCTGTTTTGTTCGTATTTCAAATGTTGTTAATCAACCTAAATTAGAAAAATAGAATGAAACTGCTCAAAAATGCAGTGTAAACTCAACTATTAAACACAAATCAGGATCAATATTTTCAATCAAATACACTCACTCTATGTTCATGAGGATGATTTGGCTGTGAAAATGAGTTTAAAAAGTACTTACAAGTTTTATTCTGGCATCTCAAAATATTCACATGGATGTCGATACGAACGTCTAGTTTTTCCTCCTCGAGTAAAGCTGCATGTTTAGTGTGAAAGGAGGAGCAAATGAGGCTGCACAGGTTGCTCCTCCCAGATGTGCCAAAAGTGAAACCTTCCACTGTGTTTCCTCTTCGGTAACTTTTGTGTGGGAAAACCACCCCATCTGCTGGTCAGTAGATGTCACTGACTTGTCTGTAATTTTCCACTGAAGGCAAAGCAAGTTTATTTGAACAGCAGAAATATAAATCAGCATCAAAACATTTAAATGTGTCGGGAATTCATGAACATCTCACACGTGTAGAACTGAAGAACGAGCAGGTGAAAAGTTCATGCTGGATTAATATGTATTTTATAAGATTAAAGTCATGACATTGTAAATGCTTCATGCTTTGCTCTGTTAAAGTGTGTGAGTGTGTGAGTGTGTGAGTGTGTGAGTGTGTGAGTGTGTGAGTGTGTGAGTGTGTGAGTGTGTCTGTGTGCATTTGTCTAGAGACGCACGCAGTCTGCACATCTTCTCACTGTTTTCAGACGTCACATTTTGTACTTGTGTTTTATCATTTGTTTTATGCTGAAGTGTATTAAGTCAGAATGTGTATTAAATGTATCGTGAATTAAGTACAACTGCAACACATTGTGAGTTTAATGAGGTTTAAATCTATTAGCACACACATTAAACACCTCCGTTTTTTCCTTGGCTTCAGTGGAATCACCTATAATTAACAAACATTATGAGTGTGATTAAAATCTTCTGTCCGTCCAGGTAATAAGGCCGATACGTTTATATGTTGATACTGAGTCCTGCACCGAAGGATACGGACAAATAGTCGCTGAAAAGGGCGAGTTTTAACGTTCTGGAATTTTAAGAGCGGATCAGGACTAAACCAGGACTAAACCAGGTCTAAATCAGATCTAAACCAGGACTAAACCAGGTCTAAATCAGGTCTAATCTTGGAGAGAGAGAGAGAACCCTGAGCCTCGTGGAGCAGGTGTCTGAAAAGTGCGACGGCTGCACGTACCTCCTCGTCTCTGAGCTCTGCACTGGTCCTTTCACCCGCGGACACTCGGGTCGACACGGAAGGACCTCCAAGCACATTCCGACAGTGAGTCCTGGTTCTGGTTTAGTCCTGGTTTAGTCCTGGCTTAGTCCTGGTTCTGGTTTAGTCCTGGCTTAGTCCTGGTTCTGGTTTAGTCCTGGTTTAGTCCTGGCTTAGTCCTGAGTCCTTATAGAACTGGTGTCTGACATCATAAATTACATTATATTTCTCCACTTCGAGGATGAACTTTTCGTCGTCCATCATTAACATTTCCTTGGACACAGTTCATGTTGTTTACGTTGTTGTCTTGACTTTGGTTAAATTATTTTGAAAGGGCATCGGAAGTTTATTTTGACACCGTGTGTTTATTTCCTGTCTTTCCTCTGCTAAAAACCTTGGAGACGCACTGTTGATGCTGTAAAATTAGAAGTCCAACCTCTGGAGCAGCGTCAGCGTCAGACGCTCGTTGGACGTGTGTGTGACTCTGTCGGTGTGACTCTGTCAGACCAGTTAAAATGAAGTTCTAAACCTGTGCGTCTGCTGCTCGTGTGCTGTGCTGCTGCACTTACGCTCCGTTGTGCTTTGGTGTGAATTGGGGGTGAGAGTGAACAGTGTGAATAGTTTTTATTGTTGACTATAATTGTGTTGTATAATTTATTCTGTGAATCCGTGAGTACAGATGGAAACGAGCTGCGAGGTGTAAAGCTCCGAGCCCCGAGCGTCAGGACGTCCACTTCACACAGAGTCTATGTGGACACACGTCTGGGGCGTCCTGTGGTTTTGAGTCTTCGGGCGTTAGTGCGGTGAGAGTCTGGCCTTGACGTGGTGCGTCTTGAGTTTTCAGGTGTCGATGATCTAGACGCGTGTCCAGGGCGTCAGCATCAGAAGTAAAAAATGCTGAACTTCTCATGTTGGACACGTCGTGCCAACCAATCAAGGACGAGAATCCAGAGATGCAGCATTGGTGCAGAATAAATATTTACTCGCCACAACCACCGAGACGCCAGGACCAGACCAGGACTAGACCAGGACTAGACCAGGACTAGACCAGGACTAGACCAGGACTAGACCAGGACCAGACCAGGACAGACCAGGACTAGACCAGGACTAGACCAGGACTAGACCAGGACTAGACCAGGACTAGACCAGGACTAGACCAGGACTAGACCAGGACTGATCCAGTGTCATTAGTGGAGTATAAATATATTCATGCTGCAGTCGTTGAGCCGATCTCCTCCGCTGATGTTTTATGTAATAAAAACACTAAAGTCTTTCTCAGCCTCGTCCATCGTTCTAGGAAAAGACGGGCACTTGTTTCCAGGACAACGGACACCCTGGACATGCGTCAAGTATTTTTTTTGTTCATCCATGACGTCCGAGACGCGTGTTGGGGCGTCTGAACTCAAATGCAAAGGCTCCAACTAGAGGCGTCCAGGGTGTTTGTTGATGTCACAGTCTGAACGGACTTTTCATTTACATGTATCGGTGCTGAAGTGTTTTGGTTCAAGTCTACGTGGATCAAATTTTGACGGGGTCGGGGGGGCGGGCTCTGGAGCGATGATTGACAGCTGACCCACAGCCTCAACAATCCAACACGGTGTGGACCAGACTCTGGCTCTGACACTTAGTGGACGCTCCTCACGTCCCGTCCGCAGACGCCAGTGTCCAACACGAAAACTCACATGTCCTGCTGTAGTTGATCCTAAAGAGGCCGATACAGACACGACTTTGAGCCAAAAGTCACATTTTTTAATACAAATATGCACTAAAATGACAAAATAAGTCCAGAGACAGAAACACACTTCTATTTTAGACACATTTACACAGAGAATCAGGAGAAAAACGTGATTTTGGTGTTTAGTGGTTCTTTAAAGCACAGTTCACCTGAGGTAAGTCACTTCTTTCCGGTCAAATGTAGCTAAAATAAAACTCAGATTAAAGTCTAACAGAGTTTCAGACAGAGCAGTGCCTCCAGTTAGCGTCACAGCCCCAGAGAATGTGGACGAGATCAGCTGCAAAGATTTACACAAAAATCTAAAAACAAAGTGTTTGTTTCCTTCATTTATTTAGTTTACGTTTTTTTACTCTACAACAAAAATACTTTTGAATAAACTAAAGCTGCACTGTGGAACTTTTCGGTTGTGGGTCCGTCACCTGTTTGTTTCTATGGAGACGTCATCACTGTGTCTGGAATGTTCCACAGTGTTTAACTTTACATTTGTTCAATTACAGGTGCAGCATTTACAGTTCAAAAATCCCCCGAAAAGTGTCACGTTACATTTCCTCTTTTATCAAACGTCTCTGTTCTCCCACTTCGTCATGGACGGACGGGCAGGAGGAGCGGTTTAGTCCTGGTTTAGTCCTGGTTTAGTCCTGGTTTAGTCCTGGTTTAGTCCTGGTTTAGTCCTGGTTTAGTCCTGGTTTAGTCCTGGTTTAATCTTGGTTTTAGACCTGGTTTAGTCCTGGTTTAGTCCTGGTTTAGTCCTGGTTTAATCTTGGTTTTAGACCTGGTTTAGATCATCTTTAGACCTTGTTTAGACCTGATTTAGACCTGGTTTAGACCTGGTTTAGACCTGGTTTAGTCCTGGTTTAGACCTGGTTTTAGACCTGGTTTAGACCTGGTTTAGACCTGGTTTTAGTCCTGGTTTCGACCTGGTTTAGACCTGGTTTTAGTCCTGGTTTCGACCTGGTTTTAGTCCTGGTTTCAACCTGGTTTTAGTCCTGGTTTAGTGCTGGTTTAGACCTGGTTTAGACCTGGTTTTAGTCCTGGTTTTGACCTGGTTTAGACCTGGTTTTAGTCCTGGTTTACCTGGTTTAGTCCTGGTTTACCTGGTTTCGACCTGGTTTTAGACCTGGTTTAGTCCTGGTTTCGACCTGGTTTAGACCTGGTTTTAGTCCTGGTTTCGACCTGGTTTAGTCCTGGTTTAGTCCTGGTTTAAACCTGGTTTAGACCTGGTTTTAGTCCTGATTTTGACCTGGTTTAGACCTGGTTTTAGTCCTGGTTTAGACCTGGTTTAGACCTGGTTTTAGTCCTGGTTTCGACCTGGTTTCGACCTGGTTTTAGTCCTGGTTTAGACCTGGTTTCGACCTGGTTTAGTCCTGGTTTAAACCTGGTTTAGACCTGGTTTTAGTCCTGGTTTAGACCTGGTTTAGACCTGGTTTAGTCCTGGTTTAGACCTGGTTTAGTCCTGGTTTTAGTCTTGATTTATGACCTGGTTTAGACCTGCTTTAGTCGTGTGATCGGGGTCGCCTCTCCACAGCTCTGCCCTGGAACTGGTTTGGTCTGGTTTGGTCTGGTTTGGTCTGGTTTGGTCTGGTTTGGTCTGGTTTGGTCTGGTTTGGTCTCCATGAAGACAGAAAGAGAAAGAGATAGAAATAGTTTAATGCCACACTGTGGAACATTTCAGACAAAACCAGAACATCTCCACAGAGGAGAAACACATCTGACGGAGCCTCCAGCAGAAAAGTGACACAGATTTTCAAGATCTAAAACTGGGACACTTGGGTTTTTGTGGTTGGTGAAAATAAAATTATGAATCGAGAGGAAAATTAAAGAAAACTGACGAACATGAGTCAGTTTAGTCACGTTTTCTTTGTGTTTTGGTCGTTTTTAAGCAGCTTCTTCAGGTCTGGACCCTAAACACTGCAGATTTAACGTTGACATTTTTCTTCAGTGCAGAAGCGTCGTGATCGCGGCACAAACAGCAGATCTGAGTTCATCTGAAACTTTTCCAAACTCTTAAAGCGGCGGAATGTGACTTTTGTGGAGTTTGAACTTTAATACGTCACATATTTTGATCACTGAGTTACCTTCACTTCAAAAAATAATATCTGAGTAAATTAAAAAGACTTAAATTAAAAACATTTGACTTTATTTGAGTCAATTTAATTTGACGAGTAAAATTATTGACCAATGGAATAAGTGTTTTTTTTATTAACTCAAGCAACGTTCGAGTTTGTTTCTTATTTTACGTTCATTTATAAAAGTTGTTTTTCTTATTTTAATT